ATTTATAGAACATTTTCTTCAACTAGTTTGATATAGTTTTAGAGCGAAAAAGTAACTTGTCCCGAAGTGAATACAATGCAGGAGTAAAAGGATGGATCACGAGGGTGTATGAACATGGGGATATACGTGCTTGTATTCCAGGTTGGAAAAACCGTGTTGTAGCAAGCGGATGCCAGATGAATTCAGTCGAAACGGGAGAGACGAAGCGTTCGTGCTAACCCCGTGTCCGTATCAAGCCGACATCGAGAAACAATGTGAAAGATGACGATTTCACAGCATCCGTCAAAGCTGGCAGTGACATTACTGATCCTGGCATGATGGGGCTCAACTGGACGAGGAAAACAGTCTACCTGTGTGTCACTTATCTATCTGAATGTAGATGTTGTCAGCTGCAGTCGCAACCTTTTCTGGCACTCATATCCCGACCATGGGAGCCACAGCTAAGATGCTCATGTTCTTGTCGTAGCATAACTGTTGGTCGATATGTTGATTCCTCCAGCAGTTTCCTGGGGCCAAAGGTCACGAGACCTGACGAATAGGCTTTACAGGCCCAAATCCATGCTTTTTTATTTTGATATTAGGTAAGGATAACAATGGTAACTCACTCGGCCATGTGTGCCTTGAATATTCGGGCCTAATTCCAGCAGGGTGACCTTGTATGTCCTGATTGCCTAGTTCAACGAGTCCACTTCCAGGGAAGTGAAGAACTGCTTCAACTGCTGTCAGTCAAAGCTCGAGGTCGTCTCGAAAATTCACATTGAACGCATAGCCTGAGCAACATCTATCATTATCGAAGAAAATAAACCGGATGTGGAGGTGATGATGCTGCCCTGAGCTTGTTCGTCTTTGCTTCTAGTAGAGGTTGTCGTGCTAGCAATTTCCATTTCTGAACCGAAAGAAAGACCTTAAGATCATTCTAGAGAAATATGTTGTGAACCTCGTAACTTTCTGCGAAATTTCTGCCCTTTCAAGCAAGCGGAGAACAGCATATGACTCCAAGGACAAGCTGTAGTTTCTTAGAAAATCTCCTTGATCAAAAGTTAAAGGCACAATTGATGTCCCACGCTGTGTATGTGAGTTTCATGATGCCCGCGATTGCATTCTTAATCACAGCAGCTTTGTAAAAGTGATGATTATGATTATCTCCCCATTCTGGCCATGTTATTGTATGGTACACCTTATTAAATTTGGTCATAGCAGCTGTGACAAATTGATGATCACCTTCACCCTTCTGGCCATGTTATTGTATGGTACGCTTCATTAACTTTGGTCAGAAGCTTTAATGAGATCGGAGCATTTTTGGACTCCATCAGCAGGTGATTCGCAGTCGTGGTTCCGGTGGAGCAAATCCACGGCCATTGGCTGTAACTGTACTGTCGTACCACATGAAGCGAGGACGAAGACTGAGAAACTAGATATCGAAGAGCTTTGGCACTAGATGAACTTCAACGTCTGAACTTCATTGCGACCGTCGGAAGTTTCCTCTTCTAATTCTAGGATAGTAGTACTGTACGCCGGAATGATCTCACACCCAGCTTAGGTTTTTTACAAAAGCTGTTCTACTACAACTGCTCTCAATAGTCAATCCTCCACTACTACAAGACAATACTTGGCACTAGCAATGACTTGGTCAAATTTTGATGATCCTTCCAAATTCCGAGATTCTTTATGTTGATTTAAGGATTGTGGATCCATTTTATGACGAAGCTGTTGTGAAGTCAATCAATTGATAAGTTGTAGGCATGACTGCAGTGGTGGAGGTCGTTTTTGAGGTTGTTCAAGTTTTGCAAGTTCATACGGTCCTTCCAATCTGGCGTCACCATGCAAAGCCATGTGCTAATGGAGAAGTTGCATTCGCTTTCTTCTTGAAGACGTACTGGATTGGTACATTGAATCTGAACTAGATCATAAATCAAGTGATTAGTCCAATAGAGCTATAATACTTGGTGTCATTTTATGACAAACTTTATCGGTGCAAATAGAGCTTGACACGCTCAGGTGGCCACTTCGCCACTCGCTTAATCAGAGGATCGATGTTTTGAATCGATGCCCTCCTCGGACGTGGTCAACATGCAGCACTTACTTTAAAGTACATGTTCCACAATTGTTAGTGACTGGCACGCCCAGACATGTGCTTAACATACGTAAGACGATACAATCCAGCTTGGATAGGTTCTTGATATTGTGTTACAATGAAGCAGTGTAGTTCCAATTATCAAACGTGGTCCAGGCCCTAGAGCAGAAGCGAAGGACCCGAACTGAGGACTGGCTGGGTGAGACTCGAGTATTCATTTACTGTCAGTACTTCTGAACAAGAGGGAGGGAGTAGTTGGGAATAGAGCCATCATCCTGGAAAGCGACAACGAGGACGACGGTGTAAAGAACTGAAACTAATGTGGGGGAATGAAAAGTAGCTGCCTGACCACGAAAGTGCACTGTGTCAGAATCCGAACCATGGTCTTCGATTAACAGGCGGAATGTAAACTTTTGGGAATCACAAGCGTTACAGGACGGAGGGGCTGTTCAACATTCTTAATAGGCGTGTAGACGCGAATCAGCTGCCCCATTAGACCAGACCCGAAGACAGAACGTGAGCTACGGGTATTTCCTTGACAATCATGAGACCGTGTCTCCGTGTCTCACACAGATCAGACTTGGCATACCTTACGGAATTTGAGTGATTGCAGGGCAATTTCGTGTACAATCATAGGACCGTGTCTTACACGGTTCAAAAGTGGCATCAGTTTCTCAAGATAGATATCCGGGAATTGTGTAGAGGCAGCCAAGTTTTGAGCTATGATTATCCGGTCCAAAATAACACGTCGATAGATTGTGAACAAGAAAACTGCCTAGGCCGAGATACCGCTAACTGTGGTACCTTCTAACAAATAGTACAATTCTCTCGACAATTAGTGCCTACTTCTACTGACTTCCTAAAGATATGAGTTCTTGCCAAAACCCTCAACGCATCGTATTCTCTACAATCTCACGATAAGAACTTGAGGCCTCATTCATTTATAACACGCAGACCTACTAGAAGAATTTCTTGTGGACGGGATAGTGAATCTAGAGATTTTCGATTTTCCATTATCTCTTGTACCTCAGATTCTGTCTATTGTTCAGTCTTCATTCAAACCGATAGTGTAAAACCTGGAATCCGAATCCCAAGTTCTATAGCATGCAAGCGATTGTGGGTGTAAGGGACGGAGTGTTTTTAACCTGACCTTGAGTGCCATGGGATGGTTTTCTGGTGGGCCATGGCCGAATCCACAAAACATGCCGTTAACCAACGTATGATGTATTTGAATGCGTATCATACGAGGTTTGTCTTCGACAGTAGTGTACTGGCCAGCTCCAGCGAAGTTCAGGGAAGTTAGCTGGAAAGTCCGAGGAAGAAGTTGGAGACGACAACGGCTCAATGTACATACCTGCTGTAAAAGTACATACCTGTGGTATGTAAACAACAAGTAGGGAAGGAAGAGATCGACATCTGGATACGAGACTCTTTGGTTAGACTGACAAGGACCAAGTCAGTCTAACCAAAGTCTATGTTACGGATATCTGGATGAAGGGTATCTCTCTGATCCCCAATCATCTGACCATATTCAGTAAACGACATGCTCTAGCCTCTACCATCAATATTAGTGTTCTTGATATGTCGGAACGACGACACAAAATCTTCCTGGCAGCATGTAATAACTTTTACCCGTCGTCGAGCGATATTCAGCGAATCACTTAATTGTGAAACTCGCAGGAATAAAAGTGTAGAGAGCAAGTGTCAAACCGGATAGGATGCAGATACGCAAGGCACGAAGTGGAAAGAGCTGACCTTCCAGAGTCTTTCTTTTTGAGGGCTAATTTCCGAAAGATGATAGACATATACAAGCAGGACGAAAATGAAATCACATGGATGTCTATCATCCAATCGAGAGATTCTCTCCAGTCTCGATGCCCGCTTTTCTTTGTTGCAATCTTCATGCTCAGGTCATACAGGTCGTTGCCAAGTGCTGACTGGCGCAGTATGTTGGTTGGAATAGAGCATGGAATAGCAAACGCTATAAAGAACTCATCTCTCCTTGGTGTAGACTCTATATTCTCACCGGACAATGGGCATAATATTTACCATCCCATCTTTGGCACTCTCCACGAGGCCCAGAGGGCGCGAATTCCTGAACTTAAAGTAGATTGAAAGAAGGCCAAAGGATAAAGTAACTCTGATTTACTCTGCAAACAATTTATGGGTTGTAATGTTGCTTCTAACTAAGCACATCTAGAGACGACTAAAGAAATTAAGTGGATCCTCCAACTCTAATCTGGGGTGGGAGGGCATGGAAACTTTAGTACCACCAGTCCAATTCAGCTCTTCACATATAGCAATCTGCGATTTTGAGAGCCCAGGTCCCCGAGGCAGGATAACATCTTGTCGATGACCCCAGAAAAGTTGATGAAGCTGAAATTGACGGAGCCTTAAGTTAACCTGTGTGCGGTTGGTGAGCCCGCCACCAAACCCACTCCACAGCTTAATCGTTGAGCGAATATACAGTCACAGATGTAAAGCACACACGAAGTAATGTGACGGAATTAGACAACAGTTATCGAAAGGAGAGTACTGATTTTATCACCAGGTCGGACAAGAACTCAATTTACCTATAGGACACTATAACCGTGTGAGTGTGATTCCTGGCAACTGAAGCAGATGTACGAATTATCTTTACCGAGTAAAGTAGGATTAACATTTGCAGAGGCCCTTAATTCATATCGCAGATGCACTTAAATCAGATTGCAGATGCAACTTAATGCACGGAAACACAGCTTTCAATCTTGTGCCTTGATTTAGGAGCTGGGTAGTAAGTTATTAAGCTCAAGAAACCAATGTGCGAGGCTGTGAGGTGAAAGCGATGGTGGGAGGTAGTAATGAAGGCACATGAGGAGGGGCAGATGAAGGAGAGTACGAAGCAGAATAAAGAGGGCAAGCGAGTACATCAGGTTAGTTGTAGAAGTCGGAGGTGGCAGGATCCGGACTTGGGGAGAAACGAGGCTCTTGTGAGTGAGTGAGTGACTATCAATCGTGGACAGCCTTGGGACCATCGTATTGGATCCGAAGATTGAGATCCAAGTCCCGAGACACATACCTCCAATAACAGAGCCACCAGCTTCTGCTGCTCCTGCTCCTCGTAAGCTGCATTCTCGCGCACCTATCGAGGTTACGCTGGCAGCGCCGGGGGACAGGAAGTCCGTCAGGAATCCAACCTGGGAAAATTGTGTGCTATTTAGTTGTCTACACACTACAGGCCTGTCAATTACTCATTGTCAGTCTCACGACACTTCCGTCGACGCGCTGATATCTCTCGGCGCGCTGCTCGAGTTGCTCCATCGAGCAGTTGACAATCTGAGCGATCTAGTATTCAGATTCTTGTGATCGCCCACCACTCGAATATTATCATCGAAGAAGTTATAAAATAGTGGGGCTACCTCGAGTGAGCTCGTGCTTTCTGCAGAGGACGAAGTGAAACGGTACAATTGAGAGCTTTATTGGGCGTCCACCGCCAGCAGTCAGTGGGCCTGACAGAGGTGTGTATGTCCACGCATGAAATCTCCTCTATGATATGTTTGGACGATCGATGCACCCATCCGTTCATGCGTAACTACAGCAGGATAGTAATCGTCGCAACTACCTCGAGGCTATACACTGACTACGAAACCTAGGACTTTCATCTTGAGGCAGGCTTGAGCCTAGAGTGCTGTTGGCTGCATGGGGCACTCCATCTGTTCCCATAAACGCGAAAAGAATGCCACTGTTATGATCGAGTTCTCCCTGTGCGAACAGGAAGAAGTATTGGTACTTGGACGTAGTACGACCTGTATCAAATGAGATACGAATGAGGTCGAAATGTTCTTCGTGACTAACAGAGGATGAGAGACCACGAGGATCTACTTTCGTTTTTGTAAGCGTGGTCCCTTACTAGCTAGACAAGACGAGGGTCATGACGAAATGCAGTTCGTCTTCTCTGGGAAACCAGTGCAGACTGTCCGGGGGCGAGAGCTGTTACAGCGCAATTGTGAATGCAAGGCAGCGTTTCGAGTTCTACGTTTAGACAGCGCATTCGTGAAGTTAGCCTCCTGACAGGTTTGTCTTCACTTCTCGACACCCATGTACAAACTGATGGGCTGAACTCAAGGAACTTACACTTGCCTGGGTCGGTCTAATCCAGCAGGAGCTACGTGCTGGATGAATGAGTCTATGGGAGAGGGCTAGTATTCACGTGTGAGGACAATTAAGCATAAAGCCAACAACGGCGGCGGCGGCATCAACGCTCATCATCTACTGAGAAGCTCGAGCAGTGCCGATTTTACACAATGGGTACTAAGTTGAACTTCATGTGGAGCAGCCCCTGGCAGATTCTCGGAGGATACAAGGTTGTTGTTCTCCGCTATCTCGAAACCGGCCACATTGTCTAATTATTCTTGCCATCACCTTCCTTTCTGTAAGGCTCATCGAGTGGGTACTTGTACGGGTCGGACATGCGAGCGGAAATGACATGGTTCCCTGTTTCTCTTGTGTTTATGCAGTATGTCATAGGTATACCTTTCCTGGTCAAAGCGATTCATGCAAATTATTACGGAGGATACGATGTCGATAATTGGTGCTTCCACATGATCTGGGTTACTATCATGCGCCTTACCCTCTCTCAATTATGGCAAATATACTCCCGCCTACACGGCATCGTGAAGAAGCATCAAATCAGCACCGTCGGATTTACATTTGAGCAGATTGATCGCGAGTTCCACTCGTAAGTTTACAATGCGTTTCCTGCTCCATGATATGATGCTCCAATCATCACTTCTGGGTGGTGTCCACTTCGATGGGGACCAGAGATAGTTTGGAAAACCGCTTTGCATGCAATACGACGAGTCCGAGATTGCAATTTTAGAACAATCTCCGGAAGTGACTCTCTCTGACAGCTTTGACGAAACGTTTCTAGCAAGCTGGTCGGTCGATTAATTTGACGATGCGTCGAGGTTTGGCTCACCAGATGTTTTTGTTCTCTCCAGGGATGATTATATTATTCTACAGGCGTTAGTGGCAACAGCTGCACACGTCTGGGTTCCAGGATTTCGTCAGCTGCCTCTCTGGGACTCTCGGGGCCTCGTCACAATCATACTCCTTCATGTGGGCCCAACGGAGTTCGTTTACTATTGGCTTCACCGAGCTTTGCACACAAACTTTCTCTTTACAAATTATCACTCGTTTCACCACGCGTCGATAAATACAGAGCCTCCTACAAGTAAGACTGTTCCTCCAAGCTGCTGGCCGTTCTCGTTTTTGATCGAACTTCTTGGTGCAAAATGCTGCAATTTTACATGAGAAATGCTCACGCCCATTCAGAATCCACGGTTCGCTTGCATTTTATTGATTACCATTTGAGGGATAGTTGTTATTTCCACCACAAATTTGAGTCCATCTTCCGGACTCCGAAGTCTGAAAGATGGGGCGAGTTCAATGGACGTAAACAAGCAGTTCACTTGAAAATCAATGGATCTGTACTATGCGGCGTTTAACTTTGCGGTGGACTCATTGGCTTGTGTTATCGTGGTCGATCAGGTGGGGTTGGAACGTTTCTGGAGCATGTGCTTTTTTCAGGTGTGATGGGCATAGCGTTGGCTGGTCCGGTGATTTTCGGAGGTGCCAGCATCAGCATGATATACTTATATTGCCTCTTCTTCGACTTCATGAAGCACATGGCACACAGCAACACGGAAATCATCCCAATTACTCTTTTCAAGGCGTTTCCCCTGCTCAAATATCTTCTGATCACCCCATCGTACGTATCTTTCCTCCGACTTTTGTTTCAATGAAGGAAAAACTGTTCGTAGCCTCGGCCTCAGTGCGGAGAGACCAGAAGAACGGGGAAATTTCTCCAGTCCGTGAACGTACGTCTTTTGTGATCATGTTTTATCCGAAGCTCAATTAGCCAATCCCTTCATGCCTAGTTTCGATCCATCCCATGGATTTAGAGTCGAAGTATTGATTCCATATGGGGGGCAGGCATCTCTCCTCTGGCCTAGGTTTAGTCTGAAACACGTATCGAATACTTCATGCTTGACGAGTCAATTATTTCAATTGTCTTCACCAGCAATTGACGTACATATATTGCTGCTAAACGTTAGTCTATCTACTGCTGTGGATAGCTGTATTCCCATCTCGCTTCCGCTGTACTGAGTTCGAGGACTATTGAGGATACGACATGATTTGAAATGATTATGGAGGAGTATGAAATTAATGATGATTACGTAGAGCAATGAAGTTCATGACCATGAGCCGTACTTGTAAGACAGTAGCGAAGGCTGACACGATGTTCTACGTGTTCGTTGTTGTTGCCGGATTGATCTCGTGACAAACAGATACCATTCTCTGCACCACTCAGAATTGCACTCCAACTACTGTCTGTTCATGCCACTGTATGATCATCTGGGCGGTACGGTGAACGTGAAGTCTGAAGCGCTGCATGCTCGTCTGCGCGAAGGTAACCAAGCATGTGTTGAACTTTACCAGCAATAGCCTCAGTGTTGTTATGCTTGCAATCACTGTTTTAAGCGGTCAGATTCATTTTACACGTACGACCGAAGTACTGTGGCGTCTGCGTAGCCCAATCGAAGGCCGCGTGACATGACAGAAGGAAGTACTCGATCAGGGGTCTTGAGAAATGCCACGATGATAATATGGATGTCTAAAAGTTCTCCTGGGACTGGTGATTAACAGCACGATTCTGCTCCATCTATGACAGGTCGAGCGGAAGAAGTTCCCGAGTTTGTGTTTCTCGCTCACTGTGTCGATCTACTTTCATCTATGCACGTTTCGTTTGTTCTACGCCAGTTCGCCTCGCGACCCTATTCCGCTAGATGGTTCTTGTATCCGTTCCTGGTTCTCATCACACCCGTCATGTTCATGATGTGGGCCTGGGGGAAAGTGTTCGTCGCTTACAAGTACACTCTAGACAAGTTCTCGTGCCAAACATGGGTCGTACCCAGATACGGTTTTCAGGTCAGATGATTTTCTACTCTGTTCACTCCCATCAGCCGACCAGATTCATTCTTGGAAATAGATTGATCAAATTCACGCAAACAACCGCCGTAAACGGATGAAGCTTTAATTTTTCATGACCTGATTGTGGCAAGTTGTGCTCGGCAGTACTTCATTCCCGTTGGACTCAACAGCATAAATGGACTGATTGAGAGCGCAATCCTGGAGGCGGACAAAAAGGGCGTCAAGGTCATCAGCTTAGCGGCATTGAATAAGGTTCGCTCGTCAGACTCTGTGTTCGGTCTCAGAGTGTACTCTAGGATAACTGCATGATTCAAATGCCGTACATGCTCTAGAACCTCGAAAGATGATGCGAATGACATTGCTCTTGTTCGAGAGCAGCTTGACCGATCGGAATAAGGAGCTCACTCGGTTCTGATCAATTGTTTTGCCAGAACGAGGCTTTGAACGGAGGCGGAGTTCTGTTCACGGACAAACATACGAACTTGAGGGTGCGTGTCGTGCATGGGAACACACTCACAGCCGCGTGTATACTCAAAGGCATTCCCGAGGACGTGACGGAGGTTTTCATCACAGGAGCGACGTCCAAACTCGGCCGCGCCATAGCTCTGCATCTCTGTAGGCGTCGCGTGCGAGTCCTCGTAAGTCGACGGAGGGCCTCACATGGATGTATTTCCCGCCATCGACTGCCATGCACGGCATTATGTCTTATTCTGTACCCGCCTGCGGATGGTGCCTCGTGGCGTCTGTCGTCTGGACATCTTTTCATGGGAGTCAGTAGCTGGCATGGGTTCCACCATCTTCCTCCTAGTTTCACCGTTTAACTACGATGGTTTGGCATGCTTCTGCAGATGCTCACAAGCTCGCAAGAACGATTTGAAGCCATACTCAAGGAAGCTCCCAAGGAGCTAAAGCGCTATTTGGTTCGTGTGACCAAATACCAAGCGGGTATCAACTGCAAGGTACGTAACCAGCTGCTCTACGTGCTTTCCCCGCATGCATTCACACGCTCCTCGTTTCCTTAGGCCAACGGTCCTCGTGAACCTACCGGCGACCCCGAATCTGAGACAGCGTCGTCCCGCGGTAGCAACTCTTATCTGCATGGGGTTCAGGTTTTGCGAAGTAAATCTATGTCGTGATCGAATTAGCTGGGACGTGGATCGCCTTTTCTCTTCTGTCGTGCTGCAACAGATCCCTCATTCTTCTTATTAATCTTCGTTCTAGTGCTCTAGGCACTCGCCAGGGGGTTCTCTCCTTGGCAGCGAGTGGATGATTTGTTTTGTGTTTTTTAGCCTTTTGACCCTTCGGGTCCCACGGGCTTGATCCATTACCATTATCATTCTGAAAATTTGTTTCCTTTCGCTCAACTCGAGGCCACAGTTTTCTCTGGTATAAAGAAGGGAGTATATTAGTGTGTCAGGAGGCGATATATGATCGAAATTAGTTTCGAGGCTTTTTTTCTCGCAGCGTACGCAACCCACAGCGCTCCGAGTGTCGTACAGACTTGTGATGTGCTATCACTCATTGCGGCTCCTTTTCGTTCCCAGTTCTGTTGGGAACCACGTGGAAACCCATTGCTCATGTTCGTTAAAGCGCCATTGTAATGAATGTCATATGGAGCCGTCTGTAGGAATCATTCGCACAGAATCATACTCATTGAAGACAAGAAAGGAAATCATGATGAGAGAATTGGTCGGCATCAGTGCGGTTATCTCTAGGCCGGGATTGTACCGTTGTGACGAGGGCTGCAGTCCATCGTCATGCGTCACTCGGCGAATCAGGGTTTTAGGACTCATCAACTTTCCTTTCCTTGTCATGGGATACTGTACTCCGCCGATACCGGCTTTACTCTAGTCCCGAGTAAATGGTCGAAAATCTAGACTAGAAGATGGTGTATAGGCTCGTGCTGGGTAGAATCTAATGGCATATCAGTTTAGATAGTGCCACTCAGAAGCTTCCATAGGGTTATGCTCTGTAATCGTCCATTTCAGAGCGGATGCCCAACCGCGCCGATTGATTAGATGAGTGTAAATTTTGCTCAGGTGTAGTAAAATCGTTGTACCACTCGCGCAGCGAGGCTGGCTGTGTGATTATAGCATCTTACAACAATCTGGGTCGGTGCTGGTGCGTTTCTTTTCTGATCGGGTGGTATTGGAGTTTAAACGAAGTCTTGCGGGAAACAGTTCAGATCGATGTTGTTTGTGACTTCGTATCCGGTTACGGATCGATTTATCGGGATTGGAGCAGGAGATGGAAAGGACTGGCCTGATGCAGAAGCTTTCTCGTAGCTAGAAGCGTAATTCGGAACTTATTCTTGCTTGTGATCCTTTATTGCAGACGTGGATAATGGGCAAGTGGATCTCTCACAAGGATCAACAAATGGCACCGAGGGGTACACATTTCCATCAGTTTGTGGTACCTGGAATTCCTGAAATAAGGAAAGATTGCACTTACGGCAAGCTGGCAGCCATGAGGCTTCCGACGCAGGTCAAAGGCATTTCTACATGCGAGGTAACGTCGCATTACGATTTGTCGCCTTCATGAAAACTGCAGCGTAGCGTCTCGGAAGACCTGACTCATAATGCACATGACTAACTAAACGGTGTTTTTGTTTGCAGTTCTCTTGCGAAAGGGGCGTAGTCCATGCCTGCCATGCTGGCGGGCTGATTCACTGTCTTGAAGGATGGACCCATCATGAAGTAGGAAGTATCGATGTCGATCGAATCGATGAAGTCTGGGAAGCCGCCATGAGACATGGTTTTTCAGCTGTATACTGAATACACAACACAGCGGGAGAGGGCCAGATGTATTTACCTTCCAACGTTCAACTCTCCAAAAGCAAGAGCTGTACATTTGGCTGGCTTGGCTCACAGACATCATTGGATTAGCTAAATTATTCAAAGGACGTTGTGGTTCACATGAGTAGTAAAACTACAGCACAGCATAGCACCCTATCCTCTCGCTCAATTCAATAGCTTAAGCTCTAGATGTGGCTAAAACTGAGCGAGCTGCAGTCTGTTGTCTAAAACGTTAAGAACAAAAATGTTCTGCGGGAAAGCTTTGATCAAAAGCTCAGCATGCTCCAGACGCTTGCCCATTACCAACTCGGATGTTTGATGTGTGACCCCCAAACTCGTTTGATGCTCTCAATCGTTAAATTCACTCCGTGGATCTGGACTCGTTTGATGCCTTATTTGTTCAAGTTAATTCCCTGTATAAGCAAGGAATTCTATTGGGCGCAATCATTTGTGAGAAGTAACGATGAAAGAAAGTTTCGAAATGTCCCTAAATGTCTCGAAAAGTTTCTTCGAGATATTTTCAAACATGTGAATTGTCAAACGAGAACGTGAAGAATTGGCATATTCTAGAATGATAGTAAAACGCATCATACGAGAGATGATCTATGCTTGCATGATTTGAAAGTTCCAAAGAAACGTTAGCTAGCAATAGTAAAAGACACAATAGCAACGGAGAACATATCTCTAAGACTTAGTGACATCATCCTTGATCTGAATCTTTGGATTGTCGACAATGAACATGATGCCAAGAGTAACAAAAGAACTGAACTGAGCTATCTGAAAAACAGGATTTAAAATGATCGAAATATTCAGGGCTATCGAAAGATTATGAAATGATTTTCAACTCAAGCACTTCTGTTTTTGTAGGTGTACACGTTTTTTATTGTATTCATGCTAATGACCGATACTTGATACTGATCTGCTACTACTTTTAAAAATATACAGTTCTCGGAGATGAGTCTCCAATGTTACCAATTATTGCAAAGTTCTTCCAAACGTTACCAAATGATATTGAAGTACTTCTACTTTTCAATTATAATGAAATGATTTTCAATGTTATCACAAAGAAAAGAGGAAAGAAAAAGGGAAAACATGAAGGAGAAAAATGAAGGTACAATAGCCAACTCCGCGTAAAATGTATGAGTAGGATATTGCATAGAATAGACTAAAGTGATTTTGCATACAACATCTATACCTAAATGTGTAGAGAGCATCGTGCTGGGAGGGGCTAATTAGCCCTCACCCTAGTATACGCCTGCAAGAATTCGTCGAAATATATGGGTATCTGTGGAATTAAATTGATGGTTCTTCTAAGGCCGTCGTGTGCCTCTCCGTGAGCCGCGTCAAGGCCTGTAACGCGGCCGACGTGGATGCCATGCTCTCGACTCCTGCGATAGGAGGGGTCGAGAAGGACTCGTTGCGTTTCCAAAGCCGGAGCTGTGGGCCCACGATCCGGGCCCCGTTCAGCCGCTGGTCTCTCGAGGCCTTGTCCGACTACTGTGCGCAAGATTTCGCCTCATCGTTCGCGCCTCGGATCCATCTCTGGTGAGTGAGCTCGATCGCAACTCCGACTGCATCATTCTGTAATGGCAACTCGTAGTTGATGCAATTTGACTTGTCGATTTGAATTCGAATTTGCTGTACGCGAGGCGATTGGAGAACTCATTGCGTGGATTTGAGAGCATTGGGCGAGCATCAGGTGAATTTGGTGCGTGGGATGCAATATGGTGACCGCCGTGGGGGCCACGGCTGTGATGAATCCGCTCAGCTGGCGGGTGGAATCAGCTGCTTGTTCTGGCAGTCCTGTGGATGTAAGGCAGAGGCTTGTGCTGGGATCGCGATTGAGTTTTCTCCCTTCCTACTTCGCCAGGATGCAGGGGACTCACTCCCTCCAGCCTTCGAAGAACCTCGAGTTCGGAGGTGCTGAGCTTTTGAGGTGGAAGAAGGCCCTCTTCTCGACAACTTTGCTTGTGCCTGCGCTTTCTACTTCTCGGAGGGCGGTGAGATTCCATATACGTTCCAAGTCAAGTGACACCAAACTGGCCACGAACTTTTCAAAAATAAATCTGGCTTGTATTCGAATGAAGTGTGACTCGGTGAGATTCCATATACGTTCCAAGTCAAGTGACACCAAACTGGCCACGAACTTTTAAAAAATAACTCTGGCGTGTATTTGAGTGAAGTGTCACTCGGTTCACAGATGCCACAGAGAGGAACACGAACTCGTTAGGAGAACCATCCATTTCATTCCTAAAGCTTTCAACGAATTCTCGCACACGTATATATTCTCCCCATCTTGCACAAATTTGCCATTGCCGATGTTACGTATATACTAGGGTGAGGTTAATTAGCCAAAGTGAGTGAAAACTAGTCCCTCCCCATCGTGCTAGCACAAATGCCATTACCTAAACACAAATGCCATACCGATGTTACGGTATAATGCATAGCATAGTTGTATTTGTTATTTGAATCGAGTTTTGTAGTCAAATGTTTGAAATGATCGAAAGTGTGGTGTGAGACGGTTTAGATCATCTAAGCTAACTGGTATGGATGGAGCAACATATTCTTCGTGGAGTGGTCTATTTAACTCATTGTAAAACGCACGGTTGCAAAGGTTGTCTTGTAGCTCCATTAATGATATGAAAATCATGTTCTCCCACTCCATGGGTAGGAATTGTCGCTTGACTCCTGCTTGTTTCTCGAAGGAATGAGATATTATAGCTAAAATTGCCATTTCTCGAAAGAAGTCGGTGAGCTCTTTGTCACTTGAATTGGATGTATGTGACTTTCAAGTAATTGTTAGCTGTTTGAAAATTGCTGTGTCTCTGAGTCTATCTGTCTCGTCGAAATCTTCACTAGTGTCACACTGCACTGACCAATGTAGGAAGCTAAATGTCCGCTTTGGCTCTTTTAATACTGTCAGTATACCAATCACCGAATTTATTTGGGATCAAGAATTTTCAGTAAGGTGCTTCCCTCAATCTCGGAGAACGACGTTCTTCGTGAGCTCTAAGAGCCCTTTGTAGCTTCCGGTAGGTGAATTGCTCGAGAAAAGACTACTTCGTGGAGTTTCTTCGCCTTGTTGTCGGGGTCGAGTTGACCGTGTGCATTGCTACCCTACACGTACACGGCACCGTCATTGGTTATGGCGCCCGAGTGATGACATCCTGCTGCGATGTGCACGCAGCGAAGAGAAAGCCCTCGCACCATCTCGACGAATTGCGAACAGGTCGAGGGGCGTTGTGTGTCCAAATACTCCGCCCTTAAATGTGTCGATCAAGACCCTAGCAAGTATTTTGCCCTCGTCGGTGAGCACCAGTATGTGGGCACCAGCACACGCGACGGTGATGGGCTCGAGCTTTGACAAAGACTCGCACACCGTGGGTTTTAGTCGAGACCCGGCATTCGACGACGTCGACGACTGCCCCAGACATCCGTGATCGCCACTGCCCCAAAGAGCTACGCAGTACTTTGCTCTGTAAAGTCTTAGTCAATTAAAGAGGGACACATGCGAGGATAATGTGCATATTTCCTCTGCGGGAACTACGCTGTGCAGAAAAACTCGCACTCCACAGACGCAGCACAAGACTTGCAATCGAATCCATTTCTTCCGTAGACGGCACCAGAGCTCGAATTCGATGCGACGGGCTTGGCATTCAAACTCGAACCGTGCACGCTCGCAGGCACATTAACTGGACTGGTCAGGTTGTGTGGCAAACTGAACTAGTCACGTATGGAAGCAGTAGTCAATTGCGGTAATTAGACTACAAACTAAAGCCACCCCGGACCGTATGCCTCCGGGCTGACGGCTGGGGCCTTCATACTAACACCTTTATGCACACCGTTCGGATCGAGATACATAGGACCTCACCGTCCTGCACACTGTTTGGGTCGAGATACAGAGGACCCGAACTCTCTTCTCGAACCCTCCCTCTTCTTTTTGGCCGCTATTCTTTTCTTCCAACTCCCAGGTACCAAGTGCGTTGAGTGCAGCTGTCATATGCCGCAGTATGCTTTGTACGAAAACTCGAGGAGTGATTTCGGAGCCAGCCGTCGACGTTAATTTGCTGTTAACTGTGGTAAATGGCAATAGAGTCTGCTTCGACAGCAGTGTGGAAAGGGGTTCTTTCTTATATTGAGTCCGGAAGTAAAATTTATTCCCTTAGGGCATTAGGCAGATTAGTGCACATCTGATCAGTTTTCCACGTGGTCAGGGCCATGAATGAAGTCTCGTTTGTCACCTGTGTTGAGAAAATATCTAGCAAACAAGAATCCGGTGTCGTAAGTGGTTTGTGATTTCAGTCCAGAAAGTGAAGTCGACATGTTAGAGTTGATACATTTGTTTTTATTCGCTTGTAGGGATTTGTAATCTCCTTAGCAAAATAAGCAGAGAGTTCAAAACTCTTCTCCTCACAGTCATATATTTCACAACCTTGGCTTGCTTCAACACAACACTACTTTTCTCCAAGGGAGACTCCATCCTGGAGATTTTCTCTTCTCTTGCCTTCCACTCTCTATTCTATGTACTAAATTGTTCTATAGCTTCCTTCAGTTAAGAACTTCCACGCATGAAGACCTGGGCAAATATTACGAACTAGTTCGACACCTCACATACCTCGACTGAAGTGTTACTTGTAAAGTCTAAACATTTCAACATCATGGATTCAGAGTCAGAAATTCTGAGGCACACCAGAGCAAACCTCCTCATTCATTTCAGTATGAAGGCGGAGTATCCCACCCTATTGTTCACGGTTATTCCTTAAGACTCAAAGTCATCGGACGATTGATCTGCCTGCTCTCACAGTGCATAAGGCCCCTTGCCGTATTGACGAGGTGAATCAAGGCCCAACAATGATCAATGAGCCTTAATAGCCTACCCATTTGACAACATACATTCCCTCAAGAAAAATTATTCACATCTTAGGACTCCTAGACCCAAACCATAGAAGAGACTTGCTACTTTGACACCCTTACATGTTGCATAATTGGTGGATCTTAGCGCGTGTAATTGAATATTACTCAGACTGCAAATCTTGCTGCAACTTCAGTTGCTTGGCACATACGTGTTGAGGACGGCAACTTTATGATAAATGAAAAGACTTAATTGAGTTAATACCTCAAATGAAGACCAAAATATACTAGAAGTGAGAGATTCCTCACACAAAATCCAAAATATCGCTCAAAGTGAAAAAATTAGGAGTAGTAATGATAACTTGAAGAGTAGGTAAAACTAGTGTTGACAAGAATGAAGTACAATGTTCGGAGACTCTCTATATATATACTCTAAGCAAAACCAAGGACTAGCAAGACGTTACTGGAACTTTGAAGTTGGTAATCGTCACCGCCAATGCTACTAGTCCAAAGTTAGAAAGTTCAAAGCCACTCCTTAGTCCAAGGTTGAAAAAAGTCAATATGATTGGTCTGTGATATCGGTCCATCACATCCGTGACATCATCCCTCTTCAAGCAACGAGTTCCACAACATCACATACTCTTCATACAACGAGTTCCACACGTTGCTCTATTTATTTTATCAAAACACTAAACCTAAAAATATATTAGAAGAAGTACGTGTGGTAATCACATGACTATAGCCTAACTTGATGTTAGTGTTAGTCCAGACGTGTTAGATTCAAACATCTTTGACACTTGGTGAAAAATGAAATTTTCTGATCATTTTGGAAGCGTTATTAAGATTAAAATGAGTTTTCCAAGTTTGCTCACTTACTTCATAACCTTGCCAATTTACAAAATATTCTAATTTTTGTTGATTGATAAGAGAGTCAATGATCTTAGAAACTTCAAATTTTTTTTCTTTGATGAATTTTCATAAATGATAGCAAGTCCAACCAATATGCTATCTTGTTAAGCTGTTTATTAACACAAAGAGATCCAAGACTACAATTATCAAGTTTTTTTTTCAGTTGGCGATTCTTCAAATTGCGACACAAAAGCCAAACATCTTCAGTTTTTGTGCCATACTTTGTGACTTGCAACATGATCATCACAAATAACAAAATTGCACAATTTTTTTTTCAAAAATGTGTACAAATTTCTTGAACTTCTTGATGACATCATCTCTTATTGTTGTTCATGTCGAAGTTCTAACAAACTCTCTTCAAGATTTTAAAATGAAGATCAATCTATCATTGGCGTATAATACTCAAACGAATGTACAAACTAGACGAGTGAATCAAGTATTGGAGTATTTAAGATGTTTTATCAACTGACATCAAGACAATTGGGTGGATCTACTTCCAGTCGCAAACTTTGTCTATAACAATACATTACAAGATTCCGTGCATCAAACTCTGTTACTCACAAATTATGAATTTCATACACGATTTGACTCTTTGAACTTGAGTTTGATAAAAATTCGGCGGCTCAAGATTTGATTACCAGATTTTTGGAGATTCACAAAGATATGAAAACAAGGATTGTAGAAGCTCAAGGGTGACAAAAGAAAAATGCAAAAAAATCTCAAAAGCCAAATCCAAACATCTTAGTTGGAAATAAAGTTTGGTTCTTATGGAGTTTATTCTACTATAAGTAGAAAGTTTATGAACAAAGTTTTCTCACTCTACATAACATCAATTATACTTGATTTTTCAGTATCAATGTTACGTCTTGCTTTCTTGTTATTACCTCCATCTTTCTTGTTTTGCGTGTAGTTTTTTCCAATTTTGAAACTTTGAGTATTTTTTGCACTTTTGAGAGTTTTTGTTTGCAACATTAAATAACTGTTGTCAAGAAAATTCCACACTACAAAAAAATTTTCTGTTTTGATGATCAAAATGAATTTCTAGTGATCACAACATTCTTTACAACACTATGGATTCTATCATCATAAATTGCCACAATTTGCAACAAAAGTTAAATAACTAGCTCCAAACTTGATCATGAATTCTAGTTCAAGCATATGCAATGTCTAACACTTGCATGTTAAGATGTCGTGCAAATATTTATTGTCATACAACCTACATCGCTGACATACCACACTCACACACACATATGTAAGAAACGAGAGCATGCACGATGCAAATGTATCACAATGTACTAAAAAAACTATCAGTTCTTTGAGTCCACGCAACTATACTCTTCAATGGGAGTGGAACTAACCTAGGCTCTACCTAGGGTTAACTCAACTAGAATTAATCCTAAGCCAATGCTAATTTTAAACAACATGTATGCATATGACAAAGATAAGATTCTTGCATTTTGCTCCTACAAACATGAACCAAGAGAAAAATAATAGATAGCAAAAAGAGCGAGGGTTTGAAAAGAGAGAAGAGACAAGCAAGCCAAGAGTTATCTTGTCCTTTGTCTCCAGTCTCTAGACCAACTCCTATTGCTTACCGCAGTCAATTTAAGTAACAGTAGGTCCGTCCTAACGATGTACGTATGAAGGGTCTCGGTCGTCAATGCAAGGACATACAGTTGGAGTTAATTTAATAAAAATATAAAATATTTGGTTATGTTAGCAATAATCCAGATCAGTGACGCAGCAACGCACCATGTTGACTCAATGACGGTGGCGATGGATTCAATGTAACTAGTCAG